ATAGAACATGTAAGAATGAACTATAGCCACTGAATTCTACCGTGCTGATATACCGTGCGTTATAGGGAAATCATGTACGCTCTAGAATGCCCTTCAAGACAATCAGAAACGAGTACTCAACAATGCCATAATAATAATGCCAGTAAACTTGCTAGCTACTTCAGTGGATTCAATTATAGCCATGGGGTATAAAAGTGACAATCAACTCGGGGCTCTGCATTCTCTGGAAAATAATGAGCATTCATTATTTTCCATAGAACGCATAGGCCCTCTGATTATCCCTTACTTATTCAAAATAAATTCATACAAATCATTCTAAGGATTAAAATACAGTATACATACTGTTAATATACAAAGTAAATGTTTTTCAAGCATATACAGTGCAAGCATCCTTCTAAATCAAACTATGTCTATACAAAGGCAACCCACAATGTAATCATAAACAGAGAGAACAGAGGATAAAAGTGCATATCCACAGACAATAAGTACTTACTGTGAATCGAGTAAAGGTCTCAGCAGGGGTCATGTACTTGCCAACCTGTCCTCCCAGTCTCTGAGTGTGGTCGTTGATATAATTCTGTGTGAAGGGAAATCAGGGCTGGGCTGTGGCACTGATCTGGATGGGTGGGTGCTTCAGGGTAATATGGTCTCCTCCTGTTGGATGTTTTGGTTTCCTTATTCCCAGGAATCAGGTCCTGTTTCCAGTGAATGAAGTTGCAACGCTTCCCTTGAAACTCACAGTAAATTAAAGCAACTCGGCGTACAAAATGACACTAATCACCTTTGTGCACCAGTATCAACCAGTCAGCCTTGATCCAATTTCAGTTACTAGCACTAGAGTTATTGTTCAAACATGTAACTACCCTTTCCTGTATAATGATGAAGAGAAAAATTTCACAAATTACATTGCCTGTGTGACTCAGTTGGTAGAGCATGGTGCTTGCAATACAAGTTTGTAAGTTCAATTGCCGCTGGGGCCACCCATACAAGAAATGTACACTACCAGTCAAAAGTTTGGACACACCTACTCATTCAAGGGTTTTTCTTTATTTTTACATTGTAGAATAATAGTGAAGACATCAAAACTATGAAATAACACATATGGAATCATGTAGTAATAAAAAAGTGTTAAACAAATCAAAATATTTTATATTTGAGATTCTACAAATACCCACCCTTTGCCTTGATGACAGCTTTGCACACTCTTGGCATTCTCTCAACCAGCTTTACCTGGAATGCTTTTCCAACAGTCTTGAAGGAGTTCCCACATATGCTGAGCACTTGTTGGCTTCTTTTCCATCACTCTGCCGTCCGACTCATCCCAAACCATCTCAATTGGGTTGAGGTCGGGGGATTGTGGAGGCCAGGTCATCTGATGCAGCACTCCATCACTCTCCTTCTTGGTAAAATAGCCCTTACACAGCCTGTTGGGTCATTGTCCTGTTGAAAAACAAATGATAGTCCATCTAAGCCCAAACCAGATGGGATGGCGTATCGCTGCAGCATGCTGTAGTAGCCATGCTGGTTAAGTGTGCCTTGAATTCTAAATAAATCACAGACTGTCACCAGCAAAGCACCCCCACACCATCACACCTCCTCCTCCATGCTTTACGGTGGGAACTACACATGCGGAGATCATCCGTCCATCCACACCGCGTCTCACAGACACAGAGGTTGGAACCAAATATCTCAAATTTTGACTCCAGACCAAAGGACACATTTCCACCGGTCTAATGTCCATTGCTCGTGTTTCTTGGCCCAAGCAGGTCTCTTATTCTTATTGGTGCAGCAATTGCAGCAATTCAACCATGAAGGCCTGATTCACACAGTCCCTTCTGAACAGTTGATTTTGAGATGTGTCTGTGACTTGAACTCTGTGAAGCATTTATTTGGGCTGCAATTTCTTAGGCTGGTAACTCTAATGAACTTATCCTCTGCAGCAGAGGTAACCCTGGGTCTTCCATTCCTGTGGCGGTCCACATGAGAGCCAATTTCATCATAGTGCTTGATGATTTTTGCGACTGCACTTGAAGAAACTTTCAAAGTTCTTGACATTTTCCGTATTGACTGACCTTCATGTCTTAAAGTAATGATGGACTGTTGTTTCTCTTTGCTTATTTGAGCTGTTCTTGCCATAATATGGACTTGGTCTTTTACCAAATAGGGCTATCTTCTGTATACCCCCCCCTACCTTGTCACAACACAACTGATTGGCTCAAACGCATTAAGAAGGAAAGAAATTCCACAGCTGTTAATTGAAATGCATTCCAGGTGACTACCTCATGAAGCTGGTTGAGAGAATTCCAAGAGTGTGCAAAGCTATCATCAAGGCAAAGGGTGGCTATTTGAAGAATCTCAAATATATTTTGATTTGTTTAACACTTCTTTGGTTACTACATGATTCCATATGTGTTATTTCATAGTTTTGATGTCTTCACTATTATTCTACAATGTAAAAAATTGTAAAAAAAAAAAAAAAAAAAAAACTTGAATGAGTAGGTGTGTCCAAACTTTTGACTGGTACTGTATGTATGCATGACCGCAAGTCACTTTAGGATAAAAGCGCATGTTAAAAATGTCATACAGTAGCTACTTACAATACTGCATACTTGTTGGTAAATCAAAGATCCACAAGGCCTAACTGTCAGACCTAACTACATACTATTGTATGTTTTGGTACCTGTTTCACAAGGCAATACAAATTTAATTAATGTTATTATTTTGTAATACTTTGTAGCTTTTAACAATGATTTCCATCGAAGAAAATAAAGGATTGTCTTCAAGTGTAAGCAGTTAAATTATTTAAAAAGAATGTAACTTTATTTTTCCTTTGACCTTCAAACAATGTTTCTATTCTTTTTTTTAAAATTTAATTTCTTAATAAACACCCCACAATTTATACAGAGGATATATATATATACACACACACACACACACACACACACACACACACACACACACACACACACACACACACACACACACACACGTGGCTCGGTCATCCGGGATCCTTGCATGCATTGTTTGTTTTTAAATACAAAACCTGTATGTACAGAATACATCAGAATTATTCTCGGCAGTATAGTGTGTAAATGATTCGTCCTGCTCTTTTAATCAAAGATTGAAAGCTCAAAACAGCATGAGTGACGTAGACGTGAGAGACAAGTGGGAAAGCAGACTAGGCTGATGTGGATGGATCTGGAGGAAAATGGGGCAGGAAATAGCTGCACAGTTTATAACATAAACAGTACACCATGATACAACGCATACTAATGCTCTGACATGCCAACCACTAGGAATGAACAATTAATTTGGTATTAGGATTACAGAAATATAAAGCTTGTATGAAAGATGTTTGATATAAAGAATAAGAAACCATAGCTGATAATTATGTTCTGTCAACAAACAATTGTACATGTTTATGTTGTGTCAAGAAAAGCTCAGGGAATGATCGATGTGTCCAATTCAAACACCAGTTGTTGAGTCTTGTCATATTGACACTGGCAGGCAACGTGACTATCATTACAAGTAAGCCTTGTTGAAGTGTTGCTTTGAGAGCTTTGGAACTTGTGATCAGAAGAGGGGATGGGCTATGCTGCATGTTTCTGGGATGAGCATAGATATAACCAAATGGAAACACGGTAACGGAGTCAGAGACATCAACAGCTCTAGTTCTGGCGATGGCGATGCAGTGTGGTGGGTGGTCACTGGCAGGTAAAAGACGCATAAGGCATTTTGAACAGGGGAGGCAGCCAAACGTAATACATACCGAAACCAATCAATCATCACTTAGAACATCATTGAAAATAATCTATACACGAAAATTGAACCGCATCAGAGATAAATTCCCAAAAACTTCAGTCAAAGGAGGCTTCCGTGGCCAGCTGGGATTTCAGTTTGTACAAGCATAGCATGTTCCAATTAACAGATAAACACAGACACAAAGCTAACTAAAATCATGGAATGTTCTATCTTGTACAGGTAATGTATGTACAGTAGTTCCAGCATCATGTCATTAATAAAATACTTGGCATATTAAAAAACAGTGATACCATACATGAGCTATACACATACAATACAAATTAGAGATGAGCTTCATTGGCAAAGTGACAGTAAAAAAACAGACAGACATGGGAGTGGGAACAACAGGAACTCTGACAACATAAACAGTAGCATGAGTAAGGAGTTAAATATTTAAAATCAGTGAGTAACACTGATTCAATCAAACAGACATTGCAGACAAAAATACCATTGTTCCTGCACCCCATAAAAAAGCACATATGAAGTTAGGAATGGATTTTTGCAATAATAGGACCGTAATTACTGATGGAAACCAAATGAAACTCCTTTTAAGTGAAACTATTCGCAGCAGGAACAATTGTTCACATTTCCTGCAATGTTAAGTTAATTGAATCAGACTTTGAGACAATTGACATGTACCTAAGAACAAACTGTACCCCAAAAGCTAATATATTAATATGGTTTTTGAACACTATATAATTTGTTTACATGCCTGATAGCTATACTTTTAGTTTCGGGTTGACACAGGTTTTTGGCTATTAGCCAATCCAGGGTTTCTCAACGAGCTCAAAGCACATGAATGCATCCAACTGGTAAATTCCCACCTCCCACTCAAGGTTGACAAGTTTCCCACTAGTAAATACCAGATGGAGGGCCGTTCAAATGTATTTTTCCCAGTCGTATGTGGTAAACATAGAGAACGGTAGAGATATCATTGTTATATATATCCCTTTACGGCATCTGTGAGCGCACAGGCAGCGCCATTGAGGCCATAGTCAATTTTTTGTCATCTACTACTTCTATGAGTTGGCAAACAAACTGAAAGGGTGCATACTGCTATCTAGAGTGTGTTGTTTGAACAGGTATAAAGCCAATGATGGCGATTTACTGCCACCTAGAGTTATGGAATGTTTGCTCACGAGTATACATTTATTGGCTGATCCCCCCTGATGATCTGGATGGAATGATGTGATCCGTCCTTCACCCACAGGAAGTCCCACCCAGTTGACTACTTTAAAATGGTGAAGCCCTCAATGGCAATGCCAAAACAGGTTTTATCCATCTAGAGTCCTCTATCTAACTCTATGGTGGTAAATTGCCACTTCGCACTTTATTAGTATTTTTTCAAATGTCTCATCAGTTTGGAGCTGAAAACTCCTGTCACAACCTAAGGGGGTCATCAGGGGTGAAACACAAACAAAGCATATAAATAGAAAAAAATTAATAGATAAATAGTTTCCCTGATAAAATATTTCAAATGGTCAGGATTAATCTATGGGATCACCTAATTGCTTATTTTGTTTTCCTTATTTGATGTTTTGCAGTTGTGAATCCAACCAGAGGAGCAAGAAATAAACTTAAAGATTAAATATTTCAACATAAAAAAAAAAAACATTTCATTGCATCAAATTACTAAAAGATACAATCTCAGGATTGTAAGTGTATATGGTACAATATCCCAACTACATACCCCTGTGCTTTCAACTAGTCCTATTCAAAATGAGCACGTGATACGATCAAAGCTACATGCAGTCACAGTAGTCTTATGTCTTTAGGTCTGCATTTGAGAGAAGGTCCTGTGACAGTGGGATGGCTCTCTCGTGTACTGTCAAGTGGTGAGCTACCAAAACCACCTGCAGTACCTCAGAGCATCCTCCCTTCCCCACAGCAGAGCAGCAGACAGACGGGTGACTGGACATGAGACCATCAGCAACCTTGTGCATGTGAGGAAGTCTCTATCCAGATGTGCTGCAGTACAACATCCTTCTGAGTCATGGACATCATGCTTTAAAAAGTAAGCTTAGCATTCTTCCCCCAAATGGCACTGTTATGGACAGTACAATAATTCTAGTCAAATGCAGACTGTAAGAAGTGTGTGTACCGGCATTTGGTTACTGCTGGCTCCTCTGAGGTAAAGCACTGTTAAGGACGTCCCAAGCTTTACCTCTGGGATATCAAACAGAGGTATAATGTGATATCACAATGCTCTTGTACAAATATGACTCAAAATCCAATTTGAATGCTAATTTGTTCGAAAAGAAAAGTCAGAGGTTAAGGACCACTTGAGTTATGTGGTATGGCTGGTGGGCCAGCATGCAGTTAAGTTCTCTGAGTGAAGAGTGAGTACATGCCTTTAAAACAGCTATCACTTCACTACCAATGTATTTTAATACAGAGTTGAAAACCCAGTGACTTCAGTGTTGGCACCACTAGGCTCAGTGGTGTCTGACCATGTGCCAGTCAAAATCACCATGGTGACAAACAGGTCTTCATCTTCACTGTGATACCCCCCTTAGTCTGACCTCTGACCTGGCTTTAGGTTCACCGGCTCTCATGAAGTCCACACTGCGCAGGTCACACAGACAGTCACACTGGTACTCTACACACACAGTACAGTAGGGTCCCCTGAGGGTAGGACATGACAGAAGCTAACAATCTGATGGATGAGAGGCGGGTCCCAGCTGACATCATATAGGAAGGGTGGGAGGATCTGAATTAACCACTCCCTCTCCTGGCTCAATCAGCTGACAATGGGCTCCCTGCAACCCCCAGGCCCTCGCCCCTAAGGGGTCCCTGGTGATGAGCAGAGCGGACTGGAAGCCCCCTCCTCTGTGGGGTGTAGGGCTGGGGTGTGAATGGCTTGACTGGACAGGGGGTTGGAGGCAGTGTCCAGGCTCCTGTTAGACAGCAGACAGCTGGGTGGGCTTGGAGGCTGGCAGATCCAGTAGAGCCTGGACGGTCATGCCCACCTTCACCAGCCCACGCTCCTCTAGGATGTGGTGGGGCAAACACAGCTTGTCCTGCCAGGGCAGAAACACAGCACGCAGTAATCACCGGCCCTTTCAAAACACTTAAAGGACAGTACAAGTGAATTGATGTTTCTATCTCTGTCACGCTGCTCTGGGTGCCAGTCTATTTCTTTGTTGTAAGATGTGGTTGGCAAGACAACAAGGCAGTTGGCTAAACCAAAAACATTTTACATTTACATTTTAGTCATTTAGCAGACGCTCTTATCCAGAGCGACTTACAGGAGCAATTAGGGTTAAGTGCCTTGCTTAAGGGCACATCGACAGATTTTTCACCTAGTTGGCTCGGGGATTAGAACCAGCGACCTTTCGGTTACTGGCACAACGCTCTTACCCACTAAGCTACCTGCCGCCCAGGCACAGCTCAACCTATCCTCTTAAGCTTTCCACATTAAGTTCAGGAATCTGACAAAAGTTTATTTACATATGGTTATCTACAGATGTTTATCATATCTGTAGATGTTCTCCTGGTTAGGGAGTGTACCAAAACTGAGGAAAAAGCTATATCAGATCTCTGGGTGATGACAGAGGACAGATGGCAATCGAAGATAGCAGTGATAATAAACTGGGTGGTTTAAGACCTGAATGCTGATTGACTGATAGCAGTGGTATATCAGACCAAGGGTATGACAAAACATACATTTTGTACTGCTCTAATTATGTTGGTAACTGGTTTATAATAGCAATAAGGCACCTCGGGGGTTTGTGGTATATGACCAATATACTACCGCGAAGGGCTGTATCCAGGCACTTTGCGTTGCGTTGTGCATAAGAACAGCCCTTAGCCATGGTATATTGGTCATATACCACACCCCCTCTGCCCTTATTGCTTAATTAAGTGATGTGTGTTTACCTGTGGCACACCCAGCTTCTTACAGGCATCTAGGAAGTTTTCCACATTCCTGCGGCATTTGGCCATGCTAAGCTTTGGCTGTGGGACAGAGTTGGTCAACAGTTACAGGCATTTTGTTTATTCTTCGCAGGTGGTTTGCTTTGGGGATTTTAAACAACAGGTTTTCAACTGGTGCTTACCACTGCTGGGGAGGGTACATGGATGCTGGCCACAGACCGAGGACGAATGTGATTGGCCAGATGGCACAGGACAACGCCATCCATCAGAGCAGCTCCGACATCGTCCGGCAGCAAGACCTTCAGTCTGGACTCCAGGTTCTGAGAGGAGTCACAGAAACAACACTTTCAACATGGATTCTGTAGATCCCTGTTGAAACTGTAGATCACCTATGACAACCGCTAAGGCAAGACATGTATGAAGATTATTTTACAGGAGGATTTTGGAGTGACTAAGAGTGATCCACCGGGACACTATGCAACCTGCAGCTGTCTGGAAGAACAAGTAGTGACACATCGAGAATTCTGAGGAACTCCAGACAACATGAAAGAGCCCATTCAAGGCCCATCAGATGAGAAAAACATCTCAGAATTACACTGTATTCTTTTGTAAACTCTGTCAACAGCTGGCTGTTAACTCTGCCAATATAAGAGGCTTTTGGTTCCCACCTCTGATGAAAAGCTACTGATTTTCCATAGCCCTTTACACTCAAACCCAGTGTATACGGGTTGAGATGGGTAGATTTGGACACTAATAAACCCCTAAATTGGAACACAGTAACACGCTATACATGACGTCAGAGCTCTGGCTCTGCTCTCCACAGCGCTGTATGTGTTTTGACTGACAGTCATTCTGAACTTGAGCACCTCGCGCGACAAGAACTTTCCCCCATCTCTCCAGCTAATTGTGCAACTTTAGCAAATGTTTTGTTGTCCAAGTGAGGGAAATGCTGTAAATGAAGATGACTATGTATTTTGAAAGATGGGACGTGGAGGAGTATAATAAATACCACTTTGATGTCATACAAGCAAGCCGTGCACTTCACATTTCCATATCATAAAACTCATGTCATATACAGTGTCAACGTTAATGATCACTATGTTTGATGTACAGTTACAAGATGACGTGTCATACCATGGGTTGTTCGGAACAAAATTGGTCTGTTTGTCTATTGTGTCAGATGAACTGTTGTGTCCTCACCTTTGGTCCAAACTCTTCCCTTTGAATTGCTACCATGGTTATGCATTTTCTTATTTCTTCTGTATGAAATATTTCAAATTATCCTTATCCATATAGGCCAATAAAGGGTTAAAATTATTGAAAAATAATGCAGGAAATTTAGAGAATTAAAAGGACTGCTACATAATACTTTTTGTAAAGTCTAATCAGGTTATTGGTGGTGTCTTTTGATCAGTGTGTCATCTAGTGTTTTCTGAATCTCCTGACCTGTCGTAGGAGGCCAATCTGCTCCATCTCCTCTCTCAGGTGTTCCATCTTCCTCCTCATGGTGAAACTGGGGTCTGACGGCTCCTGACGGCTGCTTCGACAAAAAGCTACAACAACATATAGGGTGTGACGTACAGAAATCACTGAAATTACACATTTTGGGAGCATTCAAACAATGGACTTCTGGGAATACCTCTGGGCCCTGCAGAGATGAGTCTAGACTTTATACTGACATTATGTAACAAGTGTTGAATTTCATTTAGTAAAATTAAACAATCCGATATGCCTGATATTAGTGTACATTCCTTTTGTTGTTGTAAGTGCCCTTTTTTAATGTCGCACACTTCTTTCTGCATTCCCCCTCAAACATCCACTGCCCCCCTTACCTCCTTCGTCTACTGTACCCATGTGGAAGAGGTAGGTTACTAAAAAAATTGTCCTATGAAAATCATAATCCTATATGTGAAAACACAGATATTGAGTTTATATTTACATTTACATTTACATCATTTAGCAGACGCTCTTATCCAGAGCGACTTACAGGAGCAATTAGGGTTAAGTGCCTTGCTTAAGGGCACATCGACAGATTTTTCACCTAGTCGGCTCGGGGATTAGAACCAGCGACCTTTCGGTTACTGGCACAACGCTCTTACCCACTAAGCTACCTGCCGCCCCAGGCGGTATTGTCACTGACATTGTAATATTATGCTTTTCTACCAGTATATTGTGAAATGTATGCATTTCATGCATTTATTCACTTTTTATCTGTTCATTTGTGAATGCTGTACATGCTAGCTAGTTACTTACATTTTCTCTGAACATGTCGTCATTGGGCTAGCATGGCTATTCATGTCCCCTTTTGTACTTTACAGAGGAGTTGGTGCATAAGGGCAGCACAACACTTCATGTATGGATGTTGCTCGTTTCTTTATCAGGTATGTCGTGTTTTTGTTTATGATATTTTGACGATATTTGACTGTTAGTACGAACTGTACGTAACGTCTGGCTGTTATTGATGAAAGTTAGCTAGGCCCATAGGCTATACTGTACATTAGCTGCATTTTATACTGTGCATTATATTGTATCGTTGTCAAACAATATTGATATTCTTAGCCCTGTCTACTGTACCCATGTGGAAGAGAGGAGTTTGGCGTATTAGGGCAGCACAGTATTTGTTAATGGAAGCTTTTCCTGTAATTATCAGATAATAAAAGATCAACACTCAACACCAACCCTGATCCTTTAGTCATATGTAAACTGATCAAAACGCAACGCAGAAGCAATCTACACCGGTCACATTTACTCAGGCTTCTTTCCAAACATTACTGTAACTTTGGAATGTCCAGACCAGGGTTACTTCTAAGTCAGTCAAATGTGTATTTGAGTTTCAAACAAGTTTTGTTTAGTAACTCCCTTTAGTGTGGAAATCCTGAGCTCCTGTCCTCACTAAAGATGTAAATGCATGGAGGATATAATAAATACTATAAATTATATAATAAATACTATTGCTACTTAGAAGGATATCTCCTTAGTAGCCTTTCTGTGTGTTCAACACCACATGTGTTTTTGTAAACTATTTATTGATGGCCAAATACCATGGAAATTCCACTGAACTCTTCCAACAATTTTACTTAGACAGTTGAGAGGGTCATCTCATTTGTCATCATTATCATTACAACAGAGACAAAGTTATCTGGAACTGCAGTCAAAGTGCAGTCAAAGGTCCAGTGATTGACCGGGGACTGCAGGACAGAGTGTAACTGTCAGGGACACATTGCCCTGTTTGTTGGATATCTATGAAAACCCTAAATAGTTTCTCTTCTCTTTCTCTCTTTTTAAAAAGGGCAATATGCAGTTCAAACAAAGCAGCCACTGATTTGGTAAACAGCTGAGGGATGGGGCTGGAGAAGTGTAACCACTCACAAATTCATAGACAAAGCTATGGATGCAAGGACTGACCATGATATCAAAACTATAGTTTAAACCATGTTTTGAGGCTATACATTTGTATACATTTTTTTTAACAATTAAATTGTTTACAAACAATGGAGTAGAAAAGTGTATGTTTGTCACACCAGCCTTCGCTTTGGCTCCCCCTGCTGTCCAGCTCAGGCCTTCTAGCTGCTGCCGAACCTGCTGCTGGCAAACGCCCTTCACTCATCAACCCCGGACTTGTCTCGTCATCATTACACACACCTGGTTCCAAACCCCACTCTATCACTGTATATATACTCCCTCTGTCATTTGTCTTTGTCGGTCATTGTATATGTTGCTTGTTTTCCTGAGAGTAATCTCTCCTACTATTTCCTGAGTACTTTATATTTTGCACTGTGGGTTTCGTCCCGCTTTAAGCTATGGTGCATTAATAAATTTGACTGCCTCCTGCCTACACTTGTGACAATGTTCTGATGGGGTACGAGTTGAACTAAGCTCATGAGGCATTTATAAGTTAAATTCATGGGTACTTATGGGTACTTATAATTAATTTAAAAGTCCAATAATGGATGTAACAATCACAGATTGCCCCTTTAAAGAAAGCTGCCCACAAGTAAATTCAACCTTTTACGCGTACGAAAAAGTAAAAAGATGTATGCACTCACTACTGGATAGGAGCCTCTACTAAATTACTAATATGTCAAATGTACACTGAGGCACACGCAACAGTTGACATTGATTGTATTTGCATCAAACTAAAATACCTTGTGTCACACATAATGATAACTACTGGGGTATGACATTTAGCTCATCACCATAGCATGCCGAAGAGGTCATAAGCAATGTATCCCCACGCTTGGGACTTGCCCTGACAGACAAGCTGTAGCAGTCCAATCACTACATTACATACACAGTAAATGCCACTATTAATACCCTGCATCATAATTGCACACCCTGTTCAAATTCACTGCTCCACCACATGCTCTCTGTTTTACAGTTATTTACAGAGTTCAAAACCTTGACTTGAAGACATTGAAATGTGTTGAAAATATGTGTGCCACTTGTATTGCCCAATCATACAATAATAAATAAAAGCCTTATAAGGAATGACTAACCCCTGAACAGGTTACTTAATTCAGGCTTACCTGATCTTGGCTTAAGGCCAAACACTGTGAGGGTGGTGCTGAAATCAACGTTTCGCAATACCTCCTGCACACAAAACACATCATTAGATTATTGGTCAGATAGATCAACTAATGAGGATATTTGCTTGAGTATGTGCTAACATAATTTGATTGTAATGTGCTTTTATTGTGCATTTGATTGGATAGCTATTCTCACCTCACACTCGTCATTCCCACTGGAGTTTCTTCGGGCACCCTGGCACTTGTACTGTGAGAAGAAAATAAGCATTAAGAAAGAGATTTCATCCATGCCCTAGAACCTAGTTCGCCGTATTGTAAATTGCTTTCCGTTACATGAGTATACATGATCCCAATTTTTTTTCAAGACGCCGGTAATTAATAACAAATGAAATAGTATGTGCTGATTTATTGAAACACTGAACCATGTCACGAGCCGTAGTTTAAAAACTCAGTGGATAGTGCTAAAACAATGCCGATATCTGAATTCTGCCCTCAGGCCTGGAGGGAAGCAAAAGTAATTACACTACTCAAGAATAGTAAAGCCCCCTTTACAGGCTCAAATAGCAAACCAATCATCCTGTTACCAACCCTTAGTAAACTGGGAAATAATTGTGTTTGACCAGATACAATGCTATTTTACTGTAAACAAATTGACAACTGACTTTCAGCATGCTTATAGGGAAGGACATTCAACAAGCACGGCACTTACACACACAAACTACTGATGATTGGCTGAGAGAAATTGATGATAAAAAGATTGTGGGAATTGTGGTTCCAAATGTCTTCCATTTAAGAATGATGGAGGCCACTGTGTTCTTGGGGACCTTTAATGCTGCAGAAATGTATTGGTCAGATCTGTGCCTCGACACAATCCTGTCTCGGAGCTCTACGGACAATTCCTTCGACCTCATGGCTTAGTTTTTGCTCTGACATGCACTGTCAACTGTGGGACCTTATATAGACAGGTGTGTGCCTTACCAAATAATGTCCAATCAATATAATTTACCACAGGTGGACTCCAATCAAGTTGTAGAAACATAAAGGTTAAATGGAAACAGGATGCACCCGAGGTCAACTTCGAGTCTCATAGCAAAGGTTCTGAATACTTATGTAAATAAGGTATTTCTGTTTTTTTGCCAAAATTTCAAAAAAACTGTTTTCACTGTCATTATGGGGTATTGTTTTCACTGTCATTATGGGGTATTGTTTTCACTGTCATTACGGGGTATTGTGTGTAGATTGATGAGGATTTTTATTTATTTAATCAATTTTAGAATAAGGCTGTAACGTAACAAAATGTGGAAAAGGGGAAGGGGTCTGAATACTTTCCGAATGCGGATGACTCAACCCTGGATTGTAAACTGTCATGGTCAAAACATGTTGATATAACAGTAGCTAAGATGGGGAGAAGTCTGTCCATAATAAAGCGCTACTCTGCCTTTTTAACAACACTATCAACAAGGCAGGTCCTACAGGCCCTATTTTGTCGCACCTGGACTACTGCCACAGAGGGACCTCATAAAATTATAATTGGCTCAGAACAGGGCAGCACGGCTGGCCCTTTAAATATACAGTGGGGAGAACAAGTATTTGATACACTGCCGATTTTGCAGGTCTTCCTACTTACAAAGCATGTAGAGGTCTGTAATTTTTATCATAGGTACACTTCAACTGTGAGAGACGGAATCTAAAACAAAAATCCAGAAAATCACATTGTATGATTTTTAAGTAATTAATTTGCATTTTATTGCATGACATTTTTGTTTTAGATTCCGTCTCTCACAGTTGAAGTGTACCTATGATAAAAATTACAGACCTCTACATGCTTTGTAAGTAGGAAAACCTGCAGAATCGGCAGTGTATCAAATACTTGTTCTCCCCACTGTACATGAGAGCTAACCATGTAAATCTCTCATGGCTCAAAGTGGAGGAGAGACTGACTTCATCACTACTTGTTTTTGTAAGAAGAGTTGACATGCTGAATGTACGAGGTGTCTATTTAAAACTACTTGCACAAAGCTCGGACACCCATGCATACCCCTCAAGGCATGCCACCAGAGGTCACACAATCCCCAAGTCAAGAACAGACTATGGGAGGCGCACAGTACTATAAGACACACAAGTACACATGGATTTTGTATTGTAGATACGTGGTAGACTAGTGGCCTGAGGGAACATAATGTGTTGTGGAAAGTGTTATGAAATGTAATGTCTTATAATATTTTAAATCGTATATAACTGCCTTAATGTGCTGGACCCCAGGAAAATTAGATCTCTTGGCAGCAGCTAGTGGGGATTCTTAATAAATACAAAAATACAAATCAACATCATGGGCTTCAGAGTGCAATTTGGTAGTCATGGTCTCATACCTTTAGATAATCTTTCCTCAGATACTTGTTTCTCCTGCGCTCCTCGTTCTGGTTGAGTACAGGTGGAACCTCTGGCCACTTTGGCTCCGTGTCTGACTCGGACTTCAGGCTGCCATCGAAGGAGCACGAAGAGGAGGGCTAGAGAGAGAAAGAGAGAAGAGAAAGAGAAAGAGAAAGAGAAGAGAACGAGAGAGAGGAGAGAGAGAGGAGAGGAGAGAGAGAGAGAGAAGAGCGGGAGCAGAGGAGAGAGTGGAGCAGAGAGAGAGAAGAGAAGTGAAAGGTCAAGGTACTGGACACTGTACTAACCAAAATGGCAATGCAATAATGGACAAAAAACCCTTGGCTTGAGCAGCACTAGCATTTAATTTAAAGGGATGATTGACCTAAAGCCTCTCCGTACATCACTCAGTTATAAAAGGCTAACATGCACACAGACACGTCTTCACATGGATGATGATGAGGGTGAGGAAACAAAGGCATGTATGAAATGGGTGACCTCAGAGAAAGTGATGTCGTCGTCTGTGAAGTCGGGGTCCTTTCCAGAGACAGACAGAGAGGGGGAACAACATGAGTGAAACACAAACACCAAATCAAAATATAACCATGAATAATGCTGATGACCATGATGTAGTATTACTCACACAAATGGGAAGAATGAGTTGCTTGTTTCCTGTAGAAAACAGAAGGTACAGTAAGTCCTTACCTGCCCACTCAGCACTGACGCGCCACTACTCCCTTCATCTAGAGAGGCACTAGGAGAGAGACAGGAAAACACACTGACTCATTCGGTCACACAAACTTACATTCATGTACAATACCCTCATTTATGGGACAGTGTGTCATCACTAGGGAAACTAACCATCAATAACAACAGACAGACACAATGGAGTCTTTACTACAGACACCTTACAATGGGTTTCCAAAGAGGACAACGGGGCGATGAAACTTCGGAAGCCATACATTTTTTATGGAGGGAAGTGAAGTTGGGCGATGCGAGCATTGGCGAGGTAGCGTGAAGAAGGCGGGACCAAAGTTGGGGAAAGCTGAACTTGGCTCCAATCAAGCGCCGTCCACAGGGTATGGCATGGCGTTGCAAAATGGAGTGATGGCCTTCCTTCAAGATCCCTTTTACCCTATAAAAATCTCCCACTTTACCGCCACCAAAGCACCCCGAGACCATCACATTGCCTCCACCATGCTTGACAGATGGCATCAAGCACTCCTCCAACACCTTTTCATTTGGTCTGCGTCTCACAAATGTTATTCTTTGTGATCCGAACACCTCAAACTTCGATTCGTCTGTCCATAACACTTTTTTTCACTTTGAAGATGCAAAATATTTTTTATTGTGAAACAAACAAGAAATAAGACGAAAAAACAGAAAACTTGAGCGTGCATAACTATTCACCCCCCCAAAGTCAATACTTTGTAGAGACACCTTTTGCAGCAATTACAGCTGCAAGTCTCTTGGGGTATGTCTCTATAAGCTTGGCACATCTAGCCACTGGGATTTTTGCCCATTCTTCAAGGCAAAGCTGCTCTAGCTCCTTCAAGTTGGATGGTTCCGCTGGTGTACAGCAATCTTTAAGTCATACCACAGGTTCTCAATTGGATTGAGGTCTGGGCTTTGACTAGGCCATTCCAAGACATTTAAATGCTTCCCCTTAAACCACTCGAGTGTTGCTTTAGCAGTATGCTTAGGGTCATTGTCCTGCTAGAAGGTGAACCTCCGTCCCAGTCTCAAATCTCTGGAAGACTGAAACAGGTTTCCCTCAAGAATTCCCCTGTATTTAGCGTCATCCATCATTCCTTCAATTCTGACCAGTTTCCCAGTCCCTGCCGATGAAAAACATCCCCACAGCATGATGCTGCCACCACCATGCTTCACTGTGGGAATGGTGTTCTCGGGGTGTTGAGAGGTGTTGGGTTTGCGCCAGACATTGTTTTTTCCTTGATGGCCAAAAAGCTCAATTTTAGTATCATCTGACCAGAGTACCTTCTTCCATATGTTTGGGGAGTCTCCCACATGCCTTTTGGCGAACACCAAACGTGTTTGCTTATTTCTTTCTTTAAGCAATGGCTTTTTTCTGGCCACTCTTCGGTAAAGCCCAGCTCTGTGGAGTGTACGGCTTAGTGGTCCTATGGACAGATACCCCATTCTACGCTGTGGAGCTTTGCAGCTCCTTCAGGGTTATCTTTGGTCTCTTTGTTGCCTCTCTGATTAATGCCCTCCTTGCCTGGTCCGTGAGTTTTGGTGGGCGGCCCTCTCTTGGCAGGTTTGTTGTGGTGCCATATTATTTCCATTTTTTAATAATGGATTTAATGGTGCTCCGTGGGATGTTCAAAGTTTCTGATATCTTTTTATAACCCAACCCTGATCTGTACTTCTCCATAACTTTGTCCCTGACCTGGTGCCGCTTGCTTGGTGGTGCCCCTTGCTTAGTGGTGTTGCAGACTGTGGGGCCTTTCAGAACAGGTGTATATATACTGAGATCATGTGACAGATCAGGTGACACTTAGATTGCACACAGGTGGACTTCATTTAACTAATTATGTGACTTCTGAAGGTAATTGGTTGCACCAGATCTTATTTAGGGGCTTCAGAGCAAAGGGGGTGAATACATACACTACCGTTCAAAAGTTTGGGGTCACTTAGAAATGTCCTTGTTTACCATGAAAACATACATTAAATGAGTTTGAATAGGAAATATAGCAAAATGAATAGGAAATGTAGTCATTGACAAGGTTAGAAATAATGATTTTTAATTGAAATAATAATTGTGTCCTTCAAACTTTGCTTTCGTCAAAGAATCCTCCATTTGCAGCAATTACAGCCTTGCAGACCTTTGGTATACTAGTTGTCAATTTGTTGAGATAATATGAAGAGATTTCACCCCTTGGTTCCTGAAGCACCTCCCACAAGTTGGATTGGCTTGATGGGCACTTCTTACGTACCATACGGTCAAACTGCTCCCACAATAGCTCAATAGGGTTGAGATCCGGTGACTGTGCTGGCCACTTCATTATAGACAGAATACCAGCTGACTGCTTCTTCCCTAAATAGTTATTGCATAGTTTGGAGCTGTGCTTTAGGTCATTGTCCTGTTGTAGGAGGAAATTGGCTCCAATCAAGCGCCATCCGCAGGGTAAAGCATGGCGTTGCAAAATGGAGTGATGGCCTTCCTTCTTCAAGATCCCTTTTACCCTGTACAAATCTCCCACTTTACCGCCACCAAAGCACCCCCAGACTGTCACATTGCCTCCACCATGCTTGACAGATGGCATCAAGCACTCCTCCAGCATCTTTTCATTTGGTCTGCGTCTCACGAATGTTCTTCTGATCCGAACACCTCAAACTTCGATTCGTCTGTCCATAACACTTTTTTCCAATCTTCCTCTGTCCAGTGTCTGTGTTCTTTTGCCCATCTTAATCTTTTCTTTTTATTGGCCAGTCTGAGATATGGCTTTTTCTTTGCAACTCTGCCTAGAAGGTCAGCATCCCGGAGTCACCTCTTCACTGTTGACGTTGAGACTGGTGTTTTGCGGGTACTATTTAATGAAGCTGCCAGTTCAGGACCTGTGAGGCGTCTGTTTCTCAAACTAGACACTAATGTATTTGTCCTCTTGCTCAGTTGTGCACCGGGCCCCCCACTCCTCTTTCTATTCTGGTTCGAGACAGTTTGCGCTGTTCTGTGAAGGGAGTAGTACACAGCGTTGTACGAGATCTTCAGTTTCTTGGCAATTTCTCGCATGGAATAGCCTTATTTTCTCAGAACAAGAATAGACTGACGAGTTATTTGTTTCTGGCCATTTTGAGCCTGTAATCGAACCCACAATTGCTGATGCTCCAGATACTCAACTAGTCTCAAGAACGCCAGTTGTATTGCTTCTTTAATCAGCACAACCGTTTTCAGCTGTGCTAACATAATTGCAAAAGGGTTTTCTAATGATCAATTAGCCTTTTAAAAAGATAAACTTGGATTAGTAAACACAACGTGCCATTGGAACACAGGACTGATAATGGGCCTCTGTACACCTATATAGATATTCCATTAAAAACCAGCCGTTTCCAGCTACAATAGCCATTTACAACATTAACAATGTCTACACTGTATTTCTGATCAACATTTTATTTTAAATGGACAAAAAAATTGCTTTTCTTTCAAAAACAAGGACATTTCTATGTGACCCCAAAATTTTGAACGGTAGTGTATGCTATTTTTTTAATTTCACTCCAAATAAAAATCAAGTTAAATTACAGGTTGTAATGCAACAAAATAGGAAAAACGCCAAGGGGAATGAATACTTTTGCAAGGCACTGTATGTGGGAACTCCTTCAAGACTGTTTGAAAAGCATTCCAGGTGAAGCTGGTTGAGAGAATGCCAAGAGTGTGCAAAGCTGCCATCAAGGCAAAGGGTGGCTATTTGAAGAATCTCAAATATAAAATATATTTTGATTTGTTTAACACTTTTCTGGTTACTACATGATTCCATATGTGTTATTTCATAGTTTTGATGTCTTCACTATGATTCTACAATGTAAAATTTTTTTTAACAATTAAGAAAAACCCTTGAATGAGTAGGTGTGTCCAAACCTTTGACTGGTACTGTATGTAAATAAGGTTGTTCTGTTTTTTATTTTTTGTAAATTTGCAAACATTTCTAAAAACCTGTTTTTGCATTGTCATTATGGGGTATTGTGTGTAGATTGAAGAGGGGAAAAAATAATGTCATTAATTTTTTGAATAAGGCTGTAACGTAACAAAATGTGGAAAAAGTAAAATACTTTCCGAATGCACTGTATATTATGACAAGATCCTATAACATGAGTCATGGGGACAGTTTCAATGACGCATGAATGGCATGCTTTAAAGTCCATGACTAGGCTTAACTTGCGCCCAGGAAACTGGCTAGTTTTATGCAACCGACCCAAGGTCTCAGAGTGTAAGGGGCAGGAGTCATGTGTTTAGGCAGAGCTGTGCTGTATGTACCTGCGGATGGCCTGAGAGGGGGACCTCTGTTTGCTGCTGGAGCTGCCAGAGTGACTGAGGAACCTGGACAGGTAGACAGAGGGAGGGGGGATTAGTAAGGATTAGTATCATCTCTCTATTTTCACTCTGCAGGCACAATGTGTTCAGGCAGGCATGATATGGTATGGTATGGGCTCAGGTGGATTTAAGAACTGGAGAACAACAGACAATCTAGCTAATGGTATGCATCCATCTTACAAGGCACAGAAACATGCATTTAAAACTCCAGCGTGACATTTTTCACTATTATAATTAAACAGACACCACCTCCTTAAACTTTCACAATCTCACTCTACCACACATCTCTCTCTCTCTACCTGTGTGCACGGCCGGCAACCCTCCTTCGATGAATTAGACTCTCTGCTCTACAAATTAAGGATCGTCGTCTAGTAGCCACACATCATGTGTGCACCAATCAGGTCCAAGGAAGAGGCGAGGTGGGAGAGCAGGGAGGGAATAAGAGGAGAGAAGACAGGAGCCAATGACAGGGAGGTTTGTTAGATGCAGAGCGGGAAGAGAGATAGTTAGAATGTGGTGATGGAGTAATAACTTCAGGAGAAAAAGGAACAGCAAAATGTCTGGAAAGGACCTAAGGTCTGCCCATACAATGGATAAAATACAGAGAATACGCTCTTAGAAAAAAAGGTTATATCTAGAACCTAAAAGGGTTCTTCGGCTGTCCCCATAGGAGAACCCTTTGAAAAAATGTTTTTGGTTCTAGGTAGAACCCTTTTGGGTGCCATGTAAAGCCCTTTCCACAGAGGGTTCTACATGGAACCCAAAAGGTTCAACCTGGAACCAAAAAATAGTTATCTATGGGGACAGCCAAATAACCCTTTTGGAACCCCTTTTTCTAAGAATGTATAGAAGGACCCAATACAAGAGAAATGATAACATGTACTCTTCACATATCACCTGCTGTCTGCAACAGCTACGGCTGGCTCACGGTGACAATTGATTGTAGTTAACCTAATAACTGTGGTTAGAACCCCAATAAATAGTCAGAAACCCATAACTGTCAGGGGTTGTAAATCAAGTCCTTATCTTTTCTGCCCAACACTCTTGGAGACTAAAAAGAAGAGTCCCTCCCCTCCCAACCCTCTCCTCCAAGAACATCCCAGGACCTTCCTGCTCTTTCACTGTAAGGGGTCAAGGGTAGAGAGAGAGAGAGCGCGAGCAGAGGTGGGGGTGGGGGATGCTGAGCTCAGCAGTGGCGAGGAGGACAGAGAAATATGGGGCTAGGGGCAGGGCAGAGCTCAGAGTGAGGTGAGGTCAGAGAGGAGGGAGGGGCCAAGGGGTCAGAGGTCAGCCTCTCACCTGTTCTGTTGCTCCTGCTGCAGGAGCTGAACGGCAATCTTCCTCAGGTCCAGCACCTCCTTCAGCTCCTCCTCCTCCTCCTCCTCCTCTTCCTCTGCTAGCTGATCTTTATCAGAGCTGCAGGCCACAGGGACATGACCTTTTGAAGCCAAATCCTATGCCACCTACTTCACACTCACTGTAATAACATTAACTCACTATGTGGCCATACTATAGTGGCAGCTATCCAACAACATAGTCTTCTCAGCATGTCTACTGTCTTGGCCTGTTGTTATTATTATTACTGCTATCATCTAGCTGCTAAGTATCAACTCACCTACAGTACATTAACCAGTGTTGTAAATTAACTATCTAAGGAGACTGATAGATCAATATTATTTCAGTTCAAACTTAGAAGAACTTGAAGGTGAAATGTCTTTCCTTCCTCCTCCTGTCCATCTGTGTAGTGAGGACTTACCCAGACTCCTCTTTCCAGTTCTCCTTATCTTTGCTTTGGTGTGACTTGTTAAGAACCTTCTCCAATTCCTGAAACAAAACAAAAAGTAAGTTTCATTAATTCAATATATATATATATATACACAATAATTCAATATATATATACAGTGAGGGAAAAAAGTATTTGATCCCCTGCTGATTTTGTACATTTGCCCACTGACAAAGAAATGATCAGTCTATAATTCTAATGGTAGGTTTATTTGAACAGTGAGAGACAGAATAACAACAGAAAAATCCAGAAAAAACGCATGTCAAAAATGTTATAAATAGATTTGCATTTTAATGAGGGAAATAAGTATTTGACCCCTCTGCAAAACATGACTTAGTACTTGGTGGCAAAACCCTTGTTGGCAATCACAGAGGTCAGACGTTTCTTGTAGTTGGCCACCACGTTTGCACACATCTCAGGAGGGATTTTGTCCCACTCCTCTTTGCAGATATTCTCCAAGTCATTAAGGTTTCGAGGCTGACATTTGGCAACTTGAACCTTCAGCTCCCTCCACAGATTTTCTATGGGATTAAGGTCTGGAGACTGGCTAGGCCACTCCAGGACCTTAATGTGCTTCTTCTTGAGCCACTCCTTTGTGGCCTTGGCCGTGTGTTTTGGGTAATTGTCATGCTGGAATACCCATCCACGACCCATTTTCAATGCCCTGGCTGAGGGAAGGAGGTTCTCACCCAAGAATTGACGGTACATGGCCCCGTCCATTGTCCCTTTGATGCGGTGATGTTGTCCTGTCCCCTTAGCAGAAAAACACCCCATAAGCATAATGTTTTCACCTCTATGTTTGATGGTGGGGATGGTGTTCTTAGGGTCATAGGCAGCATTCCTCCTCCTCCAAACACGGCGAGTTGAGTTGATGCCAAAGAGCTCGATTTTGGTCTCATCTGACCACAACACTTTCACCCAGTTCTCCTCTGAATCATTCAGATGTTCATTGGCAAACTTCAGACGGGCCTGTATATGTGCTTTCTTGAGCAGGGGGACCTTGCGGGCGCTGCAGGAGTTCAGTCCTTCACGGTATAGTGTGTTACCAATTGTTTTCTTGGTGACTATGGTCCCAGCTGCCTTGAGATCATTGACAAGATCCTCCCGTGTAGTTCTGGGCTGATTCCTCACTGTTCTCATGATCATTGCAACTCCACGAGGTGAGATCTTGCATGGAGCCCCAGGCCGAGGGAGATTGACAGTTATTTTGTGTTTCTTCCATTTGCGAATAATCACACCAACTGTTGTCACCTTCTCACCAAGCTGCTTGGCGATGGTCTTGTAGCCCATTCCAGCCTTGTGTAGGTCTACAATCTTGTCCCTGACATCCTTGGAGAGCTCTTTGGTCTTAGCCATGGTGGAGAGTTTGGAATCTGATTGATTGATTTCTTCTGTGGACAGGTGTCTTTTATACAGGTAACAAGCTGAGATTAGGAGCACTCCCTTTAAGAGTGTGCTCCTAATCTCAGCTCGTTACCTGTATAAAAGACACCTGGGAGCCAGAAATCTTACTGATTGAGAGGGGGTCAAATACTTATTTCCTCATTAAAATGCAAAATCAATTCATAAATTGGATTTTTTTGTTGTTATTCTGTCTCTCACTGTTCAAATAAACCTACCATTAAAATTATAGACTGATCATTTCTTTGTCAGTGGGCAAACGTTCAAAATCAGCAGGGGATCAAATACTGTTTTCCCTCACTGTATGTATATATATATATATATATATGTATATATATATATATATAGATATATATATATATATATATATATATATAGATAGATATATATATATATATATATATATATATATATAATGTTATAATTAAGCAATAAGGCCAGAGGAGGTGTGGTATATGGCCAATATACCACGGCTAAGGGCTGTTCTTATGCACGACGCAACGCGGAGTGCTTGGATACCGCCCTTAGCCGTGGTATATTGGCCATACATCACAAGCCCAGAGGTGCCTTATTGCTATTATAAACTGGTTACCAATGTAAATAGAGCAGTAAAAATGAATGTTTTGTCATACCCGTGGTATACAGTCTGATATACCACGGCTGTCGGCCAATCAGCATTCAGGGCTCGAACCACCCAGTTTATAAGAAGATGTGTAAAACCCCTACACTACTATCCAGGTTCAATCACAAGCCTGTTTTCCATTATCGATCCAAGTCAGGCCGAGACACATTTAATTTGGCCTTTCAGCTCTGTGCTTTGGCTTATTCCACAAGTTTCCCCCCCAAAAAACCTAACGAGATGATCTGTTGGCCTTTTCCACTTGTAAGGGAGGCCACCCTAGCAGTGGAGGTTTCAGTGAAGAGGCAACAAGAAGTGGCAGTGCAATGTCCAGGTTGGACGTTTATTTACAGTGCAGGAGTGGCAAACTGTACACTACGTACATATGTACGAACAATTACACAAACAGGACGTAGACTGGTAAACTAACAAATAACTGAAAATAAATCAAACACCAGGCCTCCATCATGCCTGAAAACAATGTCTGTCCAACAATGAAATGACAGGGCTTAAGTACATCTCAACATGGCCTTTACCTTGGAAGAAACCACTTCCGACTAATCACAAATACATGGTCAAAATACATACATGAAATCATCAAATGTCAACCCCATTGACATTTCATAAATATGCATACTTCAATTAATAGTGTCGCACCATGCGCAGCCTGGGAATCACCTGGTGCGACTGTGCGCCCCATACAGAAATACTTGCTAAGACCAACTGCAAGAGTATGAAGGCCATGGTCACCCAACACCAACTGCGCTGGCTTGGGCATGTCATTAGAATGTCTCAGGAGCGCTTGCTGTGGAAGATCCTGTATGGCCAGCTACATGTTGGCCGGCGGTCTGCAGGGGGGCAGATGAAGCGCTACAAGCACCAGCTGAAAACGTCGCTGAAGAAGTGTAACATCAAACCCACAGACCTAGAGGATGCTGCTGCCGACCGTTCCACCTGGCGGCAGCTCTGCCAGAGCGGTGTACAGAGGAGGAGGAGGAGGAGAGGAGCACAAAGAGACAGCAAAAACAGCTCAGGAGATACAACCATGTTGCCCCCGCCAACACAGACAGACATACAACCATGTTGCCACCGCCAACACAGACAGACATACAACCATGTTGCCCCCGCCAACACAGACAGACATACAACCATGTTGCCCCCGCCAACACAGACAGACATACAACCATGTTGCCCCCGCCAACACAGACAGACATACAACCATGTTGCCCCCACCAACACAGACAGACATACAACCATGTTGCCCCCGCCAACACAGACAGACATACAACCATGTTGCCCCCGCCAACACAGACAGACATACAACCATGTTGCCCCCGTCAACACAGACAGACAGACAACCACGCTGCCCCCACCAACACAGACAGACATACAACCATGCTGCCCCCGCCAACACAGACAGACATACAACCATGTTGCCCCCGCCAACACAGACAGACATACAACCATGTTGCCCCCGTCAACACAGACAGACAACCACGCTGCCCCCACCAACACAGACAGACATACAACCATGCTGCCACCACCAACAGACTGAGACATACAACCATGCTGCCCCCACCACCAACAGACTGAGACATACAACCATGCTGCCCCCACCACCAACAGACTGAGACATACAACCATGCTGCCACCACCAACAGACTGAGACATACAACCATGCTGCCCCCGCCAACACAGACTGAGACATACAACCATGCTGCCCCCGCCAACACAGACTGAGACATACAACCATGTTGCCCCCGCCAACACAGACTGAGACATACAACCATGCTGCCCCCTCCAACACAGACTGAGACATACAACCATGTTGCCCCCGCCAACACAGACTGAGACATACAACCATGCTGCCCCCGCCAACACAGACTGAGACATATAACCATGCTGCCCCCGCCAACACAGACTGAGACATATAACCATGCTGCCCCCGCCAACACAGACTGCATACGCCCCACCTGCAATAAAGTTTGTGGATCTCGGATTGGACTCTACAGTCACCAAATAATTCACAGTTAACTCAGAAGTGGAAGTCATCATCGGATACGATGGACTACCGTGAATGAATGATAGCAGAAATAGGTAGATGTAACATTTAGCTCCCCCCTTGGATTTGGCCAGCATGGCACTAGCCACCACACAGGATATCTAGCGCTTCAGACCGCGGACCTAGTTGGACAACCCTCCTGACGCAGCAGGAAGAAATCATTCACCTCTTCAATCAACGATGATTAACACGTAAGTTTGTAACAGAGTATATATGAATAGAATACAAGCTCGGACTGACACCAGCTCTGTGACACCGCTCCACAAAAGTAATGTGGACACCCCTTCAAATTAGTGGATTCGGCTATTTCAGCCACACCCGTTGCTGACAGGTGTATAAAATCGAGCAAACAGCCATGCAAACATTGGCAGTAGAATGGCCTTACCGAAGAGCTCAGTGAATTTCAATGTGGCACCGTCATAGGATGCCACCTTTCCAACAAGTCAGATCGTCAAATTTCTGCCCTGCTAGAGCTGCCCCGGTCAACTGTAAGTGCTGTTATTATGAAGTGGAAACATCTAGGAGCAACAACGGCTCATCCGCGAAGTGGTAGGCCACACAAGCTCACAGAACGGGACCTCCGACTGCTGAAGCGCGTAAAAATCGTCTGTCCTCAGTTACAACACTCACTACCGAGTTCCAAGCTGCCTCTGGAAGCAACGTCAGCACAAGAACTGTTCATCAGGAGCTTCTTGAAATGGGTTTCCATAGCCAAGCAGTTGCACACAAGCCTAAGATCACCATGTGCAATGCCAAGCGTCGGCTGGAGTGGTGTAAAGATGGCCGCCACTGGACTCTGGAGCAGTGGAAACACGTTCTCTGGAGTGATGAATCACGCTTCACCATCTGGTAGTCCGACAAAATAATCTGGGTTTGGCGGATGCCAGGAGAACGCTACCTGCCCCAATGCATAGTGCCAACTGTAACGCCCCCGTGCACAAAGCGAGGTCCATACAGAAATGGTTTGTGGAGATCGGTGTGGAAGAACTTGACTGGCCTGCACAGAGCCCTGACCACAACCACGTCGAACACCTTTGGGATGAATTGGAACGCTGACCGTGAGCCAGGCGTAATTGCTCAACATCAGTGCCCGACCTCACTAATGCTCGTGGCTGAATGGAAGCAAGTCCCCGCAGCAATGTTCCAACATCTAGTGGACAGCCTTCCCAGAAGAGTGGAGGCTGTTATAGCAGCATAGTGGGGACCAACTCCATATTAATGGCCATGATTTTGGAATGAGATGTTCGACGAGCAGGTGTCCACATACTTTTCGCCATGTAGTGTACTTGAATTATTTGCCTGACTTATGGCACTTGAGATCCCATACCTGACATTCACGTCTTTCAAGTTTTATGACTTGATGAAAGGTATGATTAGTTTTAAGCACTGATCAAACTTGTACTGACAATCTCCTATACCCCAGAGCTCATAGTGGAATAGGAACAGGGAGTGCTAGCACACCCATGGACAGTGGAAGACAGGCTAGTTAGTGGTGTACATGTAGTGGCCATACAGCTCCCTATGGATTACTTGTGATGTACCTTTATACATGAGATGTAGGGTCCACCACTCTGCTGCCGATCCCCCTCTGACAGGGCAGCATCCTCCTCTGGGTTGGGCTCGATGAAGTCATAGGGGTCCTGATCTACGGGAACAACACACCAGGTTGAACCTCAGACTATGTGCTTGTTGCAAGTTGAGCACATTATTGCTCAAATACTGTTTCCTAACAGTAAAATCCACTGCATCTAAACCGGTCTTACCTTTGCATGAGTCCATCTTGGAGAGGAGAGAGAGGGCGTCGGCGCGGGCCGTCTCTGAGACCTGAGAGTGCAGGCTGATGGTGTCATCATCAGAAGGCTAGAGGAAGAGAGGAAGGGGCGAGGAGAAGGGAACTTAAGAGTTAAGTGAGCATGAACCATAAACGAGTGTACTGAACATGTCTGCACGTACTACAGAAGGTGGTTGACTTGGGGCGGAGCTGACAGGAACTTTGTACAGGCACCTCAAATATTCTACTGCTTTAGTTCCTGCAAAATATTGTAGTGTTCCAGCACCTAAATGAGTACCAGCACCTACTTCAGTCCAGTCTAGTATGAAAATGTATGCACTCACTAACTGTAAGTTGATCTGGATAAGAGCGTCTGCTAAATGACTAAACTGTAAAAAATGTAAAGTCAAACACTGACTACAGAATAAATACAAAGTGGCAGTATCAATTTGCCATGGTTGAACGCACGCCAATAGGCCTCGTACAGTCTAAGCCTGACTACAGTGGGTGAACTCTGACCTCTGTCGTAGACAGTCTTTTATCCCCATTGTCACTGCCGATACCAGAGTCAGGCCCGTGGTTCTTACTGGGGTAAAAATCCTCCATGCTGTAGAGACATATAAAGGTAGAGTCAGTAATAAAACAGTCAGACAGTTTTGTTTAACTCACATTCATGACAACATCATAAGCACTTCATAATACGTCGAACATATGTCATTAATCTTCAAATATATCATACTAGTTGTCATTATAGTTTAATGGAACACACTATTCATGATGCATATGGGCGATTGTCTGGTCTGTAGTATGATATAAGAGTGTACCTGTCTGTCAGAGGCTGGGGAAGGCAGCGTTTTCCCAGGGAGGGGAGGTCCAGAGAGTCAGGCTTCTTATCCATCCTACATGTTTGGATGTTCAGGTACTTAAAGATGTGCACCTTGCCCTTCAGGCAGATCTGAAACACACAAATACAAAGTACATGAAATAAACATCCTAAATATATAAGTGCTGAAATTAAGTGTCCAACTGACCAGAGACTGTGGTATTTCATGAATACTATCACAGCTGGGGGGGGGGGGGGGGGGGGGGGGGGGGGGGTTAACCTGTGTATTACTGTAACCACGTCCCTGATACACATCGAGATGGCAGTGGATATTCCCATGCAGCGCCAAATGTCATTTACAGCACAAACTACCACAGATGTTGCCACATAAGAACACACACACACCTGTGCAGGTGGGGACTGCATAGGGTTGTTGTCGAGGATGATGTGCTGCAGCTGCCTGAGTTTCCTGTAGACAGGAGGGATCTCTGTGATCTTATTGCAGGAGAAGTCTAGTCTGGTGAGTGGCAGGTCCGCCAGCTCTGGAGAGAGAGCGAGGGGTAGAGAAAAAGAAAGAGAGCATAAGAGGGTTTGGATATAGAATAAGGAGAGAGTACGGTAAACCTATATAGTTGGTATCTGTCACTGCCCTGGGGTCCAGAGAGGTGTTGGTGAGGGAGAGAGAGTGAAGAGGACCAGGGGAGAGAACGTAAACTGCTACATACCCTCAGGCAGCATGTGAAGACAGTTCCTCCTGATGTTGAGTTCCCGTAAGGCCTGGAGCCTCCCCACCTGAGGGGGAAGCACCTGGATCTCATTACAGCTGATGTCCTACAGGGGGAGACAGAGAGCTGGCTGTCATACAGAGGCCTACAAATAACTGGACATAGATCACAAATCCAGATACACATGCATGTGGAAAAACACGCACGCGCCCACACTCATGAGCTCTGGGCCAGTGCTCACCAGTTCCATCAGCTCTTTGGCCTTCCCAATTTCCTCTGGGATGGACACTAGCTTGTTGTTGCTCACCACCAGCACTTTGAGAGGGAGGTTGAACAGGTATTTTGGCAATGTTGAGAGAAGGTTCCTGCTACAGAAACACAAAATACACATGTGCACTATAGTCAGTATTCAAGCTTTGTCCTGTGTGCAAGTATAACATTGGATACATCAGGAAAAGATCAAGCAACAAAAGGTCTCCTCTGTGTTAAAAGAATGTTAGTGAAACAGAGGAGACTGCTATCTAACGGTGTCTGGGAAATCAGCAGTACTATATAGACATCATCTACAAAACAACATCCCAGTGTATTTCTCATACTATGAAAGAGGAAATGCTCTTGCTACTTGATCCTGTGAAGTCCCTGAAAGGGGAACACCATTTCTCCTGAGATGAAGCAGAATAAAATTGAATAGCCGTGAGCAGCAATGAACGGGGTTCACAGGATGACAGAAAGGACACAAGCTCAGTTGGATAACAAAGCAAGCACTCTATCATGTAGCAACTATCTTTTTTTGGTATTTTATTAGGATCCCCATTAGCTGTTGTGAAAGCAGCAGCTACTCTTCCTGGGGTCCACACAAAACATGAAATATAATACAGAACATTAATAGACAAGAACAGTTCAAGGACAGAACTACATACATTTAAAAACGGCACACAGCCTACATATCAATACATACACACAAAATATCTAGATCAAATAGGGGAGAGGCGTTGGGCTGTGAGGTAGTGCTTTAACTGTTTTTTTATCTGTTCATTTGAGCAGTAGGAGATGGAATGGAGTTCCATGCAATAATGGCTCCATATAATACTGTACACTTTCTTGAATTTGTTCTGGATTTAGAGACTGTGAAAAGACCTCTGGTGGCATGTCTGGTGGAGTAAGTGTGTGTGTGTCAGAGTTGCGTGTAAGTTGACTATGCAAACAATTTGGAATTTTCAACACATTAAAAGTTTCTTATAAAAAGAAGAAGTGGTGCAGTCAGTATCTCCTCAACCTTTCGTATTTATATTAGCCCTCTGATTACAATGAAGAGCAATACGTGATGCTCTGTTCTGGGCCAACTGCAGCTTAACTAGGTCTTTATTTGCAGCACTTGACCACATGACTGGACAATAATCAAGATAAGACAAAACTAGAGCCTGCAGGACTTCCTTTTTGAAGTGTGGTGTCAAAAAAGCAGAGCATCTCTTTATCATGGACAGACCTCACCCCATCTTTACAACCATTTAATCTATGTTTTGACCATTACAGTTTACAATCTAAGGTAACACCAAGTAGTTTTAGAGATTCTCAGGACCAGTTTACTACTGACCACCCATTCCAAAACTGACTGCAATTCCTTGTCTTTCTTTGTGTGTAATAAAGGAAGTTTAGTCTAGTACTGTAGGTTGGTTATCTTTCTCAAATTTATTAGAGGCTAATTCATTGAGTCTATATACCAAATCTGGAGTGAATCTGACGTATGTTGCCCGAGGAGAAGATGATTGCAGATAATTTTGAGCATTCGCGTTACATATGCAATTAATTAGTTGTTAATATACATAGTTTTCTTGTTTTTAAAGATATCAATCCCAAATTCAGTGTGGTTCATTTTAGGGATATCCGTGATAGCAACACGTTTCAAGTTGATAGGCCACTGGTTTAAATGGACACATAAAATCAGATTTTTGTTAATAACTCAGACATCTTTTGACTAATCCCGTAGCTTTTCTCAAACTAAGTGAAGATATATACCATTTGGTGTCATTTTGTCTTATGACTTATTGAGAAGAAGATTTTTAAAAGTATTTTTAGCATATTAGCGTATGTGCTAATATGCATCTACTGGTATAGTGTGGCTATATTTGAATGCATCAACGTTATTTTCTCAAACTCTTTATTTAGGGACTATTGTAATGAGTCCAAAGACCACATTTGCAGTGAATCTGACTTTTAGACCATGTGAAAAATATGTTTTATGATTATTCTAAGCGTTAGTGTTACATAGTAAAAAAGTGAATTGTTAATAGTTTCCTCATTTTGTAAGATATAACATGGTTCATCATGGTCATGTCTTTGATTAACCTAAAAGGTTTCAAGTTGATAGGCCATTGTGAAGTGGATTCACAAAGGATTTAAATGGACATGTAAAATCTGATTTCTTGATTTATCAATAACTCTTAACCAATCCCTTAGCTTTTCTCAAACTAAGTTAAGAGATGTACCATGGGCCTACATAATTGCTGGTGTTATTTTGACTTTTGGTTCATGAGAATACATTTTTCCAAGGTTTTCACAGCCAAATCTATCCTGACGGACCTTATTGGTCCTTGAGGCAAATTTGTTCAGCATGAGGGAAGATACCTACATACAGTCGTGGTTAAAAGTTGAGAATGATACAAATATTAATTTTCACAAAGTCTGCTGCCTCAGTTTTTATGATGGCAATTTGCATATACTCCAGAATGTTATGAAGAGTGATCAGATGAATTGCAATTAATTGCAAAGTCCCTCTTTGCCATGAAAATGAACTTAATCCCAAAAATACATTTCCACTGCATTTCAGCCCTGCCACAAAAGGACCAGCTGACATCATGTCAGTGATTCTCTCGTTAACACAGGTGAGAGTGTTGACAAGGACAAGGCTGGAGATCACTCTGTCATGCTGATTGAGTTAGAATAACAGAATGGAAGCTTTAAAAGGAGGGTGGTGCTTGAAATCATTGTTCTTCCTCTGTTAACCATGGTTACCTGCAAGGAAACACGTGCCGTCATCATTGCTTTGCACAAAAAGTGCTTCACAGGCAAGGATATTGCTGCTAGTAAGATTGCACCTAAATCAACCATTTATCGGATCATCAAGAACTTCAAGGAGAGAGGTTCAATTGTTGTGAAGTAGGCTTCAGGGCGCCCAAGAAAGTCCAGCAAGCGCCAGGACCGTCTCCTAAAGTTGATTCAGCTGCGGGATTGGGGCACCACCAGTGCAGAGCTTGCTCAGGAATGGCAGCAGGCAGGTGTGAGTGCATCGTCACGCACAGTATGGCAAAACATTTTGGAGGATGGCCTGGTGTCAAGAAGGGCAGCAAAGAAGCCACTTCTCTCCAGGAAAAACATCAGGGTCATACTGATATTCTGCAAAAGGTACAGGGATTGGACTGCTGAGGACTGGGGTAAAGTCATTTTCTCTGATGAATCCCCTTTCCGATTGTTTGGGGCATCCGGAAAACACCTTGTCCGGAGAAGACAAGGTGAGCACTACCATCAGTCCTGCGTCATGCCAACAGTAAAGCATCCTGAGACCATTCATGTGTGGGGTTGCTTCTCAGCCAAGGGAGTGGGCTCACTCACAATTTTGCCTAAGAACACAGCCATGAATAAAGAATGGTACCAACACATCCTCCGAGAGCAACTTCTCCCAACCATCCAAGAACAGTTTGGTGACGACCAATGCCTTTTCCAGCATGATGGAGCACCTTGCCATAAGGCAAAAGTGATAACTAAGTGGCTCGGGGAACAAAACATCAACATTTTGGGTCCATGGCCAGGAAACTCCCCAGACCTTAATCCCATTGAGAACTTCTGGTCGATCCTCAAGAGGCGGGTGGACAAACAAAAACCCACGAATTCGGACAAAATCCAAGCATTGATCATGCAAGAATGGGCTGCCATCAGTCAGGATGTGGCCCAGAAGTTAATTGACAGCATGCCAGGGCGGATTGCAGAGGTCTTGAAAAAGAAGGGTCAACACTGCAAATATTGACTTTTTGCATAAACTTAATGTAATTGTCAATAAAAGCCTTCGACACTTATGGAATGCTTGTAATTATACTTCAGTATACCATAGTAACATCTGACGAAAATGTCTAAAAACACTGAAGCAGCAAACTTTGTGAAGACCAATACTTGTGTCATTCTCAAAACATTTGACCACGACTGTACAGTTGAAGTCGGAAGTTTACATACACTTAGGTTGGAGTAATTAAAAGTCGTTTTTCAACCACTCCACAAATTTCTTGTTAACAAACTATAGTTTTGACAAGTTGGTTAGGACATCTACATGGTGCATGACACTTAATTTTTCCAACAACTGTTTACAGACAGATTATTTCACTTATAATTCACTGTATCACAATTCCAGTGGGTAAGAAGTTTACATACACTAAGTTGACTGAGCCTTTAAAAAATTATGTCATGCCTTTAGAAGCTTCTGATAGGCTAATTTACATAATTTGAGTCAATTGGAGGTGTACCTGTGGATGTATTTCAAGGCCTACCTTCAAACTCAGTGCCTCTTTACTTGACATCATGGGAAAATCAAAAGAAATCAGCCAAGACCTCAGAAAAAAAATCGTAGACCTCCACAAGTCTGGTTCATCCTTGGGAGCAATTTTCAAACACCTGAAGGTACCACGTTCATCTGTACAAACAATAGTACTCAAGTATAAACACCATGGGACCACGCAGCCGTCATACCGCTCAGGAAGGAGACGCGTTCTGTCTCCTAGAGATTAACGTACTTTGGTGCGAAAAGTGCAAATCAATCCCAGAACAACAGCAAAGGACCTTGTGAAGATGCTGGAGAAAACCGGTGCAAAAGTATCTATATCCACAGTAAAACGAGTCCTATATCGACATAACCTGAAAGGCCGCTCAGGAAGGAAGAAGCCACTGCTCCAAACCCGTCATAAAAAAGCCAGACTACGGTTTGCAACTGCACATGGGGACAAAGAGCTTACTTTTTGGAGAAATGTCCTCTGGTCTGATGAAACAAAAATAGAACTGTTTGGCCATAATACCATTGTTATGTTTGGATATTTTGAAGCAAGACATCAAGACATCAGTCAGGAAGTTAATGCTTGGTCGCAAATGGGTCTTCCAAATAGACAATGACCCCAAGCATACTTCCAAAGTTGTGGCAAAATGGCTTAAGGACAACAAAGTCAAGGTATTGGAGTGGCCATCACAAAGCCCTGACCTCAATCCTATAGAAAATGTGTGTGCAGAACTGAAAAAGCGTGTGTGAGCAAGGAGGCCTACAAACCTGATTCAGTTACACCAGCTCTGTCAGGAGGAATGGGCCAAAATTCACCCAACTTATTATGGGAAGCTTGTGGAAGGCTACCCAAAACATTTGACCCAAGTTAAACAATTTAAAGGCAATGCTACCAAATACTAATTGAGTGTATGTAAACTTCTGACCCACTGGGAATGTGATGAAAGAAATAAAAAGCTGAAATAAATCACTCTCTACTATTATACTTACATTTCACATTCTTAAAATAAAGTGGTGATCCTAACTTACCTAAGACAGGGAATTTTTACTAGGATAAAATGTGAGGAATTGTGAAAAACTGAGTTTAAATGTATTTGGCTAAGGTGTATGTAAACTTCCGACCTCAACTGTACAACATTTTAAGTCTCTAGGTCAAAAGGGGCGGTGGATATGAGGGTTTAAGTGAGACTGCTTATAACAGCTCCACCTAAAGGCCAATCGGTGCCATTGCCATCTATGCTTGCGTTATTTGACCATTTCAAGGGGGTAAAAAGAATCCAAGAATAACAATATCTTTACATTTTACATTTACATTTTAGTCATTTAGCAGACGCTCTTATCCAGAGCGATTTACAGTTAAGTGAGTGCATACATTATTTTTTATTTTTCATACTGGCCCCCCGTGGGTTCTTTGCTGTGAACACCTAAATATGGGCCTTTGTATTTCCTCTATCCTGGTGATATCATGGTGATATCAAACAGTATGAGGTCATTGGGTAAACAGATCATGCCACAGTGCTCCATGAGTCATCACTGACCTGATGTTGAGATAGGTCAGCATCTGCAGGTTGATGATGGTTTCTGGGATGCATTTGATGCAGTTGTGGTATAGGTTGAGGGACTCAAGGGGGGCAAACAGACACACCTCTGGGGGAATCTCTGTGAGCCTGTTCTTCGACAGATCTGGGGGGAGGGAAAGAGAGAGACAGCAGGTGAGGGTCATGGGTACACAGCGACTATATACACAGTACTGTACGTACACTACAAGATCAAAAGTATGTGGACACCTGCTCGTCGAACATCTCATTCCAAAATCATGGGCATTAATATGGCGTTGGTCCCCCCTTTGCTGCTATAGCCCCCTCCACTCTTATAGGAAGGCTTTCCACTAGATGTTGGAACATTGCTGCGGGGACTTTCTTCCATTCAGCCACGAGCATTAGTGAGGTCGGGCACTGATGTTGGGCGATTAGGCCTGGCTCGCAGTCAGCATTCCAATTCATCCCAAAGGTTTTCGATGTGGTTGAGGTCAGGGCTCTGTGCAGGCCAGTCATGTCCTCCCACACCGATCTCGACAAACCATTTCTGTATGGACCTCACCTTGTGCACGGGGGCATTGTCATGCTGAAACAGGAAAGGGCCTTCCCCAAACTGTTGCCACAAAGTTGGAAGCACAGAATCGTCTAGAACAGTGATCATCAACTAGATTCAGCCGTGGGCCAATTATTTCTTAAGTGGATGGTCGTGGGGCCGGAACATAGTAAAAAAACAATGTTTTTAGACTGCAAATGAACCGCAAGTAGCCCAAACATATATAATAAGTGACTAAAACATAATTTCAAACCTTGATTACATTTGGGGCCATTGCCCTGCGTAGGGTGCAGTCTTTCGGATGGAATGTTAAAACGGGTGTCCTGACTCTCGGTGGTCATTCAAATTCCCATGGCACTTATTGTAAGAGTAGTGGTGTTCACCCCGGTGTCATGGCTAAATTCCCAACCTGGCCACATTCCATCATGGCCACCTAATCATCCCCTTCATTCCTAATTGGCATATATCACGTTCTGGCACAAAAATGGTCGCCGTGCATCAGTGAGGTGTGTGCTACACATTGATGGCGGATGAGGTGATTTTCCCCCTACTATGTAAAGCGCTTTGAGTACCTCAGTTAGTAGAAAAGTGCTATATAAATCCACCAATTATTATTTATTATTATTATTTGTATACCACCACTTCTCTCTATTATGCGTGGGAATACTTGGAGCTGATTTCCTGGTATTTTTACAGTCTTATGTACAACAAACTTGGGGGGCCAAATAAAACCACCCACGGGCCAAATTCTGGCTGCTAGTTGGGGAACCCTGGTCCAGAATGTCATTGTATGCTGTAGCATTAAGATTTCCCTTCACTGGAACTAAGGGGCCTATCCCGAACCATGAAAAACAGCCCCAGACCATTATTCCTCCTCCACCAAACTTTACAGTTGGCACTATGTATTCGAGCAGGTAGTGTTCTCATGGCATCCGCCAAAACCAGATTTGTCCGTTGGACTTACAGATGCTGAAGCGTGATTCATCACTCCAGAGAACGCGTTTCCACTGCCCCAGAGCCCCATGGCGGCGATCTTTACACTAATCCAGCAGACACTTGGCATTGTGCATGGTGATCTTTGGCTTGTGTGCAGCTGCTCGGCAATGGAAACCCATTTCATGAAGCTCCCAACGAACAGTTCTTGTGCTGACGTTGCTTCCAGAGGCAGTTTGGAACTCGGTAGTAAGTGTTGCAACAGAGAACAGACGATTTTTACACGCTACGCACTTTAGCACTCGGCGGTCCGGTTCTGTGAGCTTGTGTGGCCTACCACTTCGCGGCTGAGCCGTTGTTGCTCCTAGACGCTTCCACTTCACAATAACAGCACTTACAGTTGATGTACTGACTTGTTGGAAAGGTGGCATCCTATGATGGTGCCATGTTGAAAGTCACTGAGTTCTTCAGCAAGGTTATTCTACTGCCAATGTTTGTCTATGGAGATTGCATGGCTGTGTGCTCCATTTTATACACCAGTCAGCAATGGGTGTGGCTGAAATAGCCGAATCCACTAATTTGAAGGGGTGTCCACATACTTTTGTAAATATAGTGTATCTTCTTGTGAATGTGACTGTTAGGTAAGAGACCTATCTGTATCTGATCCCACAAATCAGTAGTCTAGTCTCTGCCTGTGTGTCCCTAACCTAACGTAGCAGGCGTAAAATAAACTATATCCTCTACGTACTGGTCTTGACGAGAAGAAAATAAACTGTCGGGGGAGGTTCTCTTCTGCACTGTTCAACCAATCCAGTAAATGTGGAGGAGTTAAGATGGAGTGTCGCCTTGTTAACGTCCAAAAGGTGAAAGTGGCGTCACAGGCTCTCTTTCCATTTCCCCTGAAAACCGGAACATCAGGTTGTTGGGGACCCAGCAGAGGCTGTGTCCCTGAGGCTGGGGCTCTGCTGTAGAGCACAGGCCACTCTGTGAAGGAGAGCTCTGCAGTACTCCGTGAAGGATTATTTGAAGGTCCTGGCTACCGATACCATGGCAACCACACGCAGAGCGGTAAGCAACTGAATCTGCAAGATGCTCACATGTGAGGGGACGTGTGTGTATATGCATTTATATGTATTTCTATGTTTGCTTCAGTAGTGCATGCAAAGGAGGGAAGGAGGTTGTGCTGATACAACTTATTTCTAAATGAAACTTTAACAAAGGTTGAGTTCCTCAAATACAGAGGGAGTTGGTTCCTGAGCAGTCTAATAAACTGGCCTCAGCCCTGTGTCTGTGTGTAGGGGCGAGGGTTCAGCATGGTGAGTAGGAGGGTGTAATCTTGGCTGCCAAAACAACGTTGGCTATTTAATTAGAGGGCAGATACGGCAGGACTAAAGCTTTATCTCTAGGCCACTCACAGGCCTTGGCAGCCTACCTGATATAATGGCCTCGCTCTTCTCTCATCACTAAACCCAAAACTGCATAAAGATGCCCAATGGATCCTTGCCTTTCAAAAATCTAAAATCCAGATATTTGACTGAGTCTCTTGTGTACATCTTTAAGCTCAGTTAAAGCCCGATCAGGATGAATTCCAATTTGATCTCCTCCACTTTCTTTCAGGTTTTCTGGGAATAACCAGTCAGGCAAATGAGAATAAGAGGAACCTGGGGCAACCATCCAGTCAGATCTCACATGGCAGACAAGCCATTAAAGGCAGTGGGAACACAACAAACATCAATACTTGTCAGTCACCCACTCTCTATCATAGCTTCGTAGCTTCAGGCACACATGCCCACTAAGTATCTCTGTTCAGAGAGAAAGAGATACGACTAGCTTGTTTTGGCTCCACATAAGAGGACTGTCTCTGAGCAAGCCTGTTACATGTTGCAGCATTAACTGTGTGGGAGACATTTTGCATAAGGAAGTGTTTGTGTTTAACTCCATTCCAGAGGCAGTGGGATGGGAGAATTCTGAGAGGAGATACATCCCTGCTCCACAGAACAACTGCCACCACTAACAACACAAGCACCCAGCCAGGTACAAAGGTACAGATCCAACATTGAGCTGAGGAGACCAACAGATCTGTCTCTCCATCACACTGAGACCTGCCAGGCTGTTCAGTCTAACACATCACACAACTAATGAAATGTGACAAAATCCCCAATAACCTCCTCAGAGATGTCAGCATGCACACCACATCAAAGACTCTGTAGCACAGGGAACACAATCTGCACGTCAGTGTGATAGGTCCTCAAGAAATATACCTACACTTATTCCAAAATAATATCTAAGTCAGTGCCCTTGTAGAATAATTCATGCTAATTCACTATCCTTGACAGGTGAACTTCGCCCACTTCATCAGTGAGAAGGAATGCCAGTTAAATCAGCTAGGGTCTGGAGTGTGTGGTTTTCCATTCCACAACATGAGGATTAGTGGTTACCATAATAGATAGGAGTCCCTTCGTGCCTCTCACCAGTCATTCACAGCAGCAGCACCAGCCCTGTTCCTCTACTCCTGCCTGCAAGAAACCTGGGCGCCTCATCAAATATTCAGACAGCAGCCCATTCAGTGAGGTCAGCATACGACTGGCACGTATATGAGAGAGACGGGGGAAGAGAGATAGAGACAGAGTGAGAGAGAAGAAGAGTGAGCGAGAGAGATGAGCTCAGGCATGCAATCAGAGCTGGCCTAGATTTCAGCCCATCTGGGATATAGAGAGTAGAGCCAGCACCCACACAACGTGGGCAAGGGGTGTCCCCAAACCAAACTACATTACCCACAACTCTCGCTCCCCATTCTCTATGTGTATCTGAAATCCCCTTCCTGCATGCTCCATTTCTTAGAGTCCCATTGATTTTCACAGCACCAAGAGGAATCATTCAGAGCAACACAGGAAGAGAAGCAGACAACAGTTCCTCAACCTAAGCTAAACCCCATCCTTTCCAAGCATAGAAACGATTGCTCTAATAATTACATAATGCATCTTCGTTAGTGATAATCATTATAACAAAGATCAAACCAGCAGTGTTCTAGACCTGGCAACACAGTCCTTAGGTTTGGCATGTGTAAGACAGACAGACAGACAAGCAGGGAGAGGGAGTGATGGGAATCCCATGTGACAGTGACTTCTCTGATCCTCAACCTCCTATCCCACACAGCACAGCACAGCCATAGAGGTGGGGCACATGATGCCTGAGAGGACTGCTGTATAACCCTGGCCTGCCTGGCTACATCAGAGATAGCCAGTCAAATACACCAATATCTTATACCTAGCCTCATGGTGGTGGGCTCACACACACAAACCCCTGATACTGCCTTACTGGTTAGAGTGTGTGTGTGTGTGTGTGTGTGTGTGTGTGTGTTTCTGTAAAGTAGAGAAATCACATTAGTGGCTGCCGTGGCCTATTTCACAGCTTTTCAATTGGAGGGTTGTGTTTCGGGGCTGCTCATGATGGAAAGGGGCGATGAGGTACCCATCGGCTCAGCTGTGTACCAGAGGGGGTATAATCCCCCTGCCCCACGTCACCCCTCCAGGGACCATCTCTCCACAGCAGGGTCACCCTCTCATTGGAAGATGGAGGGGAGAGGAGAGGGAGATGGCGTGTCACACTATATCACTCCCACTCACAACCTGTCCCCCAAACTGATGATGTATCACTTACACCTCTCCAGAGACAGAGCTGCAAATGGTTGCATGTAGTGCTCTACTCCTCAATAGCCAGAGGGGATGAGGCGAAAAAACAGGCCCACAGCATTGTTTGGGGACAGTGGACCCCAACAGAGATGCAATCTCCAGCCCTCTTTAATCACCACCACCTTGGCCTACATCCTCTGTTTTTAGGTGATTTAGTACGTATGAAAAATAATCCTGACCAAAGCAGGGCTCCAGACTGCGACCATTTAGTCGCATTTAACGACCTTGATTTGAATTAGTCGCATCAGTCCGAGCTGAACATTGTACATGGTCACCTCACTTAAAACGTCCTATTTTGTAGGAGGCTAAAACCATGATTAGGACAAACAGTAAAGTGCATTATGCTTATGATTCTTGTAATTAAAGTGTCTGCCTGCCCCTGTACCGGTTTCGCTCAATATGGTCCGACTGCGACCCGCGTCCTGGACGGTTCTTACCTGACCATGCAAGAACCGCCCAGGGAAAACCCGCCCAGTCTTTCTATTGGCTCCTGGCTACTTCCTCGTTCTACGGGCCGCAGTAGCAGCCAGTTTTATTGATGACTTTACCATTGAACTACTGCAAGAGTTACCCCCTGACATTGGCTACACTAGTAGCTATTCCCCACGCCATTGTGGGACAGCAGTGCTTGGAAAACGGGAGCGAGGGACACTGTGTCCCAGGGTTGTTGCCGTTCATGCTCTCCCCATTGAGTAGACTGTATCACAGCAACATCTACACTGAGTGCACAAAACATTAGGAACACCTGCTCTTTCCATGACAGACTGACCAGGTGAAAGCTATGATCCCTTATTGATGTCGCTTGTTAAATCCACTTCAAATCAGTGTAGATGAAGGGGAGGAGACAGGTTAAAGAATGATTGTTAAGCCTTTATTTAACTAGGCAAGTCAGTTAAGAACACATTCTTATTTACAATGACGGCCTACACCGGCCAAACCCGGACGACGCTGGGCCAAATTGTGCGCCGCCCTATGGGACTCCCAATCACGGCCGGTTGTGATACAGCCTGGAATCGAACCAGGGGGTCTGTAGTGACACCTCAAGCACTGAGATGCAGTGCCTTAGACCGCTGAGCCACTCGGGAGCCCAAGGATTGTGTATGTGTGCCATTCAGAGGGTGAATGGGCAAGACAAAAATATTTAAAGTCCCTTTGAACGGGGTATGGTAGTAGTTGCCAGGCGCACCGGTTTGAGTGTGTCAACAACTGCAACGCTGCTGGGTTTTTCACGCTCAACAGCTTCCCTTGGGATCTCAAGAATGGTCCACCACCCAAAGGACATCCAGCCAACTTGACACAACTGTGGGGAAGCATTGGAGTCAACATGGGCCAGTATCCCTGTGGAACACTTTCGAAACCTTGTAGAGTCCATGCCCCGACGAATTGAGGCGGTTCTGAACGCAAAAGGGGGTGCAACTCAATATTGGGAAGGTGTTCCTAATGTTTTGTACCCTCAGTGTTTATGACTACCAATATTAGTTCTCTCGTGTAAACTGTTATCCTACTTGAAATATAATCCTGGAAGGGTAGAAGAAAATTGCCAAATTACTAGCTACCGGTAACACCGTGATACAGCTGCCCAGTGGGAAGCACCTCAGGTTGGCAAGCACCTCGATACAACACCGGTGCATTGGTTGCCATGTTAGCTAATGTTATCGCCGGCGACACCGTGATACAGCTGCCCCATGACTCAATGCGACCTGTAGAATGAGGAAGTAGCCAGAAGCCAATAGAAAGAGAAGAATCCAGAAGCGAATTGAAAGAGGGGGCAGGTTTTCCCAGAGCGATTCTTGCCTGGTCAGGTAAGAACCGCCCAGGACACAGGTCGCAGTCAGACCCAACTTGTTTCACTGGGGCCTTCTGCTGTGTCGAGCGAGCCACTCTCGCTCTCTCCTTTCCCAGGGAAAGAAATGCTCAGTGAGAAAAAAAAAAAAAAGTGGTCTGATTGTATAACATTTTCAAAATCCAATTGCGGGGAAAACACAGCAACTGTTGTCACAGTCGAAGAGAGGAGGTTCTCAGCTTTGTGTAGGTATAGTGTTTTATTTCTCAACTCTCAATTTTGAGCTCAATAGTGACTATTTTACAAACAATATATTTTATATGGCTTTGAGATACAGAGCGCGCAAAATGTGCGTCAGCCATTGCGATTGCATAGGCTTCATTAGGTAGTAACCTAGGCTACAACTGCAACGTTTTTGGGGACATAAAATGTACCGTTAGATTAATGCATGGATATTAGCAGTGGGTATTATATTTCGAGTTAGCGATCTAGCCAATGTGTTTTGAGTTTCCACTTACTCAGGTGAATTAGCACCAAATAAATGAGCCTTTGATATTAGTGCACATAGATGCAGGCAAATTCATCTCTACTAAACAAACAAAAAAATTGGAACATTCTGGAACCCTATTTTAACAGTAAAATATAACAACAATAGCCCATTGTCAATTTACAATTCATGACAATCACTGGATTAGGTTGCACATCAAAATATTTTGAATCACAACATGTTAGATAAAACAACAAAAATGTATTGAATCCCATCTAATTAGTCTATTACACTTTTTAATAAAGCACTGTGAATAACTTTCTAAGATGTCGGTTTAATGAGAATGCGACTTCCTCTCAGCAAACAGAAGCAACAATGTAACTATATGCCACAAAACACAGATTTTCATGAGGTGTGTGCTGGTGATGCGTCTCTGCTGATGTCGGTTTAACTGGTCCATGTGGGCCTGTGTGTGCTGGAGCCTGAGCTCTGGATAATCACAGGCTGATACAGTAATTAGAGACCCGCTTGAGGAGCTGCACAGCCCCTGGTAAAACACACACAGCACAGGCCTTTCAATTACACTCTTTATGACTGCACACACACACACACACACACGCATGCAAGTACATCCAATACAGACACACACATCCCATCTCCATTATTACATACAAGTACATAAGTACAGCAGCACCAAATAAACTATTAAGCAATACATTAATTGGCTTAATTGAATACAAGCCCATAGCTATTGGAAAATACTGTATGTATGTAGAGTCACAGATTCAGGAGACAGGAACAAATTGATCTATTTTCTTTCCCACACAAACACACAGCCTATACTCTCTTGATCTCTGTCTCTCAGACTAAACACAGACACATATAGACAGACAAATTCTCGCTCTCTCCCGGAACCCCTAATGGGAGGCTTAAGGTGTCCGACACAGCTTTAGCAGCTAGTAAAGGCTTTGCTGCCAATTCTGTGCTGAGAGCTAGTCTTCCTAAATGCAGCATTCATGTTGTACGGCATAGGTGAGCATTGATTTCCCCTTTCTGGCATGAAAACGCATCCAAAATACATGTGTGTGTACACATATTACCGGACAGAGAGGATCATGGGAGCAGACAGACCGGCTAGACAGACATAAGAGACAGATATGAGAGAGACAGACACGAGCATCACGTCGCTCTTCTGATGATATGTGCAGGAAGAGAATGGTTGGGTGGTGTGCTGTGCTGTGAATCTAAAGGCTAAGGGATCTCTCCCATTAACTCAACCCAACTGACAGACACGTCCCAATGTCAAAACATCAGCCCTATTCCCCTTTCCCCCTGATGGGAAGACCAGAGTTGGCCCAGGCCCTCTTCTACAACTGGAGGTTTTGATGATGCAGGCTCCCATCTGTACATGAAGGGGACCCCCTGCTGGGCTCAACAAAGGCCTGGCCACTCGTGTTTGGGGAGCGTTTGAAGCGCACAGGGTCGATGAAGAAGGGGGTGTGGAGAAGAGTGCTGCTTTGCTTTTGTGATGCTGTCCGTTTCTCTGTCTCCATCCTTTCCCCTGACCAAACGCCATCTGTGGCAGGAGCAGACAGGCAGGGAGGCAGGCAGACAGCAGGCCCTTTGTCCATTTGTTAGTGCCCACAGAGTTCCAACAAAACAGGGCTGGCCAGGCTGACTACCCCCCAGCCAAACCACCATGCTGCAGCCTCTTCATCAAGTCCAGAAAGGCTCTATTATTCAAAGGACATTCAAACTAATAGATAAAACCTGACTGGTACTGACGCTGAGAGCAGAAGGAGGTAGGAGGGTTGAATGATCTTATAGGGCAAGTATGTTGTGAATGTGAATAGGTAATGCCCCCGTCACACCTTCTCCAGTGGATGTTGTCTATTGTCTCGCAACAGACCGATGTAAATGCGCCTTAAGATAGGCTTGATATGTGACTAGGCAAGGCTTGACATTTGTGTAGGTATGAGCTAGACTTAACCAAACCATGACATTTAGCTCATACTATCTGGTACTACCATCAGATAATTACCCCTCCGGTAGAGTGGCAGAATAAATCTTCACTTAGCCAAAGGCATTGAGGCGTGGGGTGCGCTCGGCTGCAAAATGGCTGCCATTTATCACTAAGGTTAGGGTAGCACACAGTTTGTGGATGAAGACAGGAGAGGCACAAACGTTTTACTTTACCTTTTACTGGAACATTTCAGTTTTTAGTGTCAATTCTGTCTTACAATGTACCATGGTCGCATAATGCATTGTATGGAGCAAGAGAGATTGGCGCCAATGAAATGTATAAACTCAGTCAGTTTGCCTTTCCTGCAAAGCAGCTTAACAAAGGAGACAGTATCGTATCAGTGGTTGGTTGACTGGGGCTGCTAGGCTAATTTGATGTGTATCTCCAGAATGCTGGCTGCTGATGGAGGGAGATGACCTGTGGGCAGTTGCTTCACACATAGGGCCCTCTGCAGTTACCACAGCACACACATGGCTCCAAATTAAACACAATGTTCTCCTCAGCTAATCACATTCATTTGGACTGAGATAAAACTCCCTAATAGAATTCTGTCCTTAATAGAATTATCAGCAGTCTAAAGCACACCAGACATCAACAGAAACAGGGGGTGACAGTGAGAGCTCTTCTCGAATAATATAGGCCTGCATCATTTTATTTTGTGTACTGGATTAACCTTTTCACATGATCCTTTCTGTTACTTTTAATGAATTAGTAGACTAGCATGGATTAGTGTGATTTAATAAACGTAGCTCCGTTGGTAGAGCATGGCGCTTGCAACGCCAGGGTTGTGGGTTCGATTCCCACGGGGGGCCAGTATGAAAAATGTATGCACTCACTAACTGTAAGTCGCTCTGGATAAGAGCGTCTGCTAAATGACTAAAATGTAAATGTATAACGTATAAATCAACTGTTTTGAAAATAGAATATTGTCACTGGCAAAAAGACTGATATCTATCTGATTCACTTCAATATTATTTTATATTAACAATGAGCACGTAGACTTGATCAACAAAATATCTAACAATAGAACTGCAAGTGCAGACAAGCATCCTGGTCTGGCTGACAGGTATGCATGTGTTCAGACTGGTTTTTTTCAGTCTGATGCAGCACATCTACACAGAGCCCTGAGGGACGAAATGGGAGTTGGGATTTTCAGTCATCTGCGTGCACACGCACAACCATAGGCAAAGGAGCATGGGTGTTACAGTATGTGTGGATAAGCCTGTTTAGAAACCTCATGGTCACATGACTCAGGGGAGTGCTGCCTGTACAGGGTGACCAGGATCCCTCCCAACAGCACTATAGAGTGGTGCAGTCACACCTCTGGGAAAAATCACAATCAGTGCCAAGAGTGTGGCAGCTTCATGTGTCTATACCTGTACGCAAAATGGGAAAGTGATAGCATTGTGAAGCCAGTGGAATGTGTATTTATATGTGCGGGAGTGGTGGGTTGTGCGATTTGGTTGACTGGGGAAAATCTATGAGCGTTTACGTGTGTATGTAGAGGGGGTGTTTGTGTGTGGGAGGTGGTACTGTAGTTGAGGGAACTAGGGAGGCTGCTGGTGTCCATTATAACCATACCCTGTTCTGTTTTCATTGGTTGTAAGCGATCACTTGGCAGAAAGTCAAGCTACACCTCTGCAGCCAGATTTCAACTGCCAGTGAAATACTAGTGCTCAGGAGTCACAACACAACCAAACACACAATCACAGAACCAAATGTTCATGTTCAAATATTCTATATCTACAGCATTTACCCCCATCCTATCATTGTTTTTTGTTGGAGGGAAAGTTCTCTCTCTTTCTCCTTCGCTCTCTCTTGTATGTGCAGTGCAGTGTGTTTGTGCCCTTTGGGGTGGGGTAGAGTAGGGTAGGGCAGGTTAGAGTAGAGTAGGGTAGAGGCATGCAGCAACATGCTGGCCTGTTGGCTCCAACATCTGGCCAGGTTGGGCCTCTGCTCTCCAGCCTCTCTCCAAGGTCAGGGCATCGGTTTACAGCTCTCACACATTGCCATGGGAAAACAAACTGACTGCCGGCACACTGTCAACAACATACTGCAAACACACACACACCTTAGTGTCAGCTTGCTTTCTCAGTCTTTGTATCCATCTCACGTAAACACTATACACATAAAGACACACATGCTCTATCTCATGAGTTTTGCATGAACACATGGCCTAGGTCTATGTTGACAGCTCCTGCAAGGACCCAACCACTAGAGAACAATGGAAATAGTTTCTAAAAGAGTTAGCATTTTTTCTATGTTGCTGTGCTGCTCTAAGTTGTGGAGCATTCTCAAAGTATTCTTCAAAGAGAATTCATTGTACTCTGATTGTATTCTGTGGTGTGGTCGATGCTCCAGCATTCTATCTTTGATGATTCTGTTTGAGAGTTCTGTCTGCTGAGGATTCCATCTGGGAGGATTCTGTCTGAAACTAGAGTTGGAGGGTTGTCTGAGAAGGCTCTATCTACCGAGTATATTATATATAGGGTTCTGTCATCAGGGATTCTGTCAGAGATTCTGTCTAGGGCTGACTCCATTTAGTTGACTGGTCGATAGGCTGTTGGTCGACCTAGATTTTTTTAGTCGAGCAGTGGCAAATATATATAAAACAATGTTATGGCACACGAGACACCTGTCTGATTCACGCCTGTCTCGGTGGACTAGTCCATTGCGGAGGCCGCGGGGGTGGAACACCAGTATCACCTGCAATACATTTACCTTTAATTCCCATCATTTCTAATCTACAATGTTGGTTTGATTACGGTCATTTTTGTTAATGCATTCAATATATTTGTATTATTATTATTACTACTACAGTCTTACAGTTGTCATTGTAGGAGCGGACACATTGTTTGCAGAGCGCACAACCTAGGCTACACTTGTGAGGGAAAAATGGTTTATTTCATTCCATTTACAAGTTATCAATGTATTAATTGTCTTTTGTTTGGAGCGCTCCTGTCAATCTTGAGTAAGGACACACATCTGATTACACATAGAACTAGGCCTAGACTACCTGGCCTGCGTGCAAATGTAGGCTTATAAATGTGCCCATTTGGGGATCTGATACTATTTCTGATTGTCTTAACTCAGCATCACTGTGGAGCTTCTCAAAGTAATTTTTGATTCACCTCAAAAAGCAAGTAAACAAAGTCTTTTTTTACATCCATTGCTATTGACAATAGTTTGCGTAGCCTATTTGAAAAATCTTTCCAGCTCTCTCCCTTTCGATAACCACTCAGCATGAAAGAGGGAAAAAGAATGTCATGCTCTGATCTGGATAAAAGAAAAAGGCCTACCTGATTACTTAACTATTGTATTCTACAGCTGTGTCTGTCTGTCAGGAGCTCACTGGCGCAGGAAACTGAAGGCCCAGAATATTTTATAAAATGTTGCTTGTGTGAGCTTCAGGCGGGACCCAAGTTAATAGTTGATACAATGTTTCAAGTTCCTTGCAGACAGGCCATGCATAGCCAATGTGATTTCTAGGATATTTATTTTAAATCAGGGTATTTTCTTGGCTTTATGTAGCTATTTTTACATAATGGCAATGGCAGTTAGTTTTAGATTATCATTTTCATTTATATAGAATTTTGATTAACCACATGACAGTGATTTTTTGATTTGAAGACTTTATTATAAAATTAAATGAAACTGTTCCACGAAAGTGTGCATAAGAAAAGCATAACTAGAAATGGTACAATAACTTGTGGAAAAGGTTTCTGACCCTGGTGTAGCCTATTACCGGCAACTTCAGGAGTGTAATGGCAGAATCAGCGAAGGCCAGCAGCAGCCAGGAACCTTATTTTCTTCTTCTGATTAGGCTGTATTGTGTCTTCATTTGTAATTGCAGTGCTTAAAGCATCAGATAAGCTCAGTATGCTACATACTGTATATTGATTTTATTATAAAAAACTGAAATATCACATTTACATAAGTATTCAGACCCTTTACTCAGTACTTTGTTGAAGCACCTTCGGCAGCGATTACAGCCTCAAGTCTTCTTGGGTATGACGCTACAAGCTTGGCACACCTGTATTTGGGGTGTTTCTCCCATTCTTCTCTGCAGATCCTGTCAAGCTCTGTCAAGTTGGATGGGGAGCATTGCTCCACAGCTATTTTCAGGTCTCTCCAGAGATGTTCGATCGGGTTCAATTCCGGACTCTGGCTGGGCCACTCAAGGACATTCAGAGACTTGTCCCGAAGCCACTTCTGCATTGTCTTGGCTGTGTGCTTAGGGTCGTTGTCCTGTTGGAAGGTGAACCTTCGCCCCACCTCCCTGACCAAGGCCCTTCTCCACCGATTGCTCAGTTTGGCTGGGCGGCCAGCTCTAGGAAGCGTCTTGGTGGTTCCAAACTTCTTCCATTTAATAATGATGGAGGCCACTGTGTTCTTGGGGACCTTCAATGCTGCAGAAATTTGTTGGTACCCTTCCCCAGATCTGTGTCTCGACACAATCCTGTCTTTACGGACAATTCCTTCAACCTCATGGCTTGGTTTTTGCTCTGACATGCACTGTCAACAGTCGGACCTTATATAGACAGGTGTGTTCCTTTCCAAATCATGTCCAATCAATTGAATTTACCACAGGTGGACTCCAGTCAAGTT